TTTCCATGGGATATTGTGTACTGTTTCCATGGGATATTGTGTACTGTTTCCATGGGATATTGTGTACTGTTTCCATGGGATATTGTGTACTGTCTCCATCAGCAGTATTGTTTGTATAACCGCAGAGAAGCATGTCAACTTTCCTTTGACTTTGCTGCCGTGAGGGATCAAACTTTACACGCTAATTTCTTTTTTTAGGATTATCGCAGCTAAAAAACGTTTCATTTTCAGAATCAGTGTTAAGAAACAGGACGGAGAGTGCAAACCAATTGCTGTCGTCACAAAGACTCGATCATAGCTGCTTTCTGACCCAAGGAGAGGGAATCACCTCAGTAGTAAGAGAATTGGATGATAAAGTGAAACTTGTAAACAGACCATGCAGTATGTTTAGTGGAAATTTTTTGTTTAAGTAAGAGTTTTACGGCACATGCAACACAAAAAGGTCATATAAGTGCCGAAGATTAGAGGTGTTACAAGAGAGTAACAAACACAAAAAAGGAGGAGAGATAAGGAAGACAGATGTTTGATAGGAAAGAAGGAGCAAACCACACCAGAGCACCCGCCAAACACCCACTTCAGTGGAAAGAGAATAGAATGATAAAGAGGAACTTGTAAACAGGATGCGTAGTTCGACAAAACTAACAGTTCACAAACATAACAAATCTGATACAATATTTATCGCTGCCTGTAACTACCGGTGTTTACCACTTACAGAACCCAGGCTCATAGAGTTGAAAAAAACCCAAGTACAGAAATAGTTTCAAACACTGAAGCCGTGGTGGCATTTTTTAAAATTAAAAAAACCTTGGCTGCCCAAGAAACATGCTCTAAAAATTCATAGAGGTTCATCAACCATTCAGCTATCATATACAGTGACTTCCTTCGGTATTTACTTCAGTGCAGTGTGTCCATTCGTCATTTATTTAGGTTCAGTGTGCCTGGTCGGGTCGGTATCTCAAGTCGCCAGCGGTAGTGGGCCGCATACTATGGCCTAGCGACTTGAGTCGCTGCCGGTACTGGAAGTGTTAAGTGTGGGAAAACAACAATGCTTGACCAGGTAGGACAACAAGGACACTTGACCAGGCAGGACAACAAGGACACTTGACCAGGTAGGACAACAAGGACACTTGACCAGGTAGGACAACAAGGACACTTGACCAGGTAGGACAACAAGGACACTTGACCAGGTAGGACAACAAGGACACTTGACCAGGTAGGACAACAAAGACACCTGACCAGGTAGGACAACAAGGACACCTGACCAGGTAGGACAACAAGGACACTTGACCAGGTAGGACAACAAGGACACTTGACCAGGTAGGACAACAAGGACACCTGATCAGGTAGGACAACAAGGACACCTGACCAGGTAGGACAACAAGGACACCTGACCAGGTAGGACAACAAGGACACCTGACCAGGTAGGACAACAAGGACACTTGACCAGGTAAGAAAACAAGGACACTTGACCAGGTAGGACAACAAGGACACTTGACCAGGTAGGACAACAAGGACACTTGACCAGGTAGGACAACAAGGACACTTGACCAGGTAGGACAACAAGGACACTAGACCAGGTAGGACGACAAGGACACTTGACCGCCTCTGACCTTCTGCACCAGGTAGACGCTGGTGGCCCGACTGCCGGCCGACTCATCCAGGGCGGTGTCCTCCTTCACGAAGAAGCTCACGTCTGCGATGTGCACGCCCACCTCAAACATACCTGTAAACACATACACAGATACAGATACACGTACACACATAGATACAGATGCACACACACATACACATACAGATAAAAACATGGATGGACTACAGTCAATATACAATACCCACTTCAAACATACCTGTAAACTCTGCAAACACATACACATACACATAAAAACATGGATGGACTTATTTTAATTTTAGTAAGAGTTTTACGGCACTTGCAACACAATAAGGTCATTTAAGTGCCGAAGATTAGAGGTGTTACAAGAGAGTAACAAACACAAAAAAGGAGGAGGAGAGAGAAGAACGATAGTTTTTTATAGGAAAAAAGAGCAAACCACACCAGAGCACCCGCCAACCACCCACCAAACACACCAGTAAGCACATACACACACAGATAACAACAAGGACGGACTACAATCAATGCAGTCAAAACGCCCACATCACACACACCTGCAAACACACAGACATGACTGAGAACATATGGATAGACTACAATTAATGTAGGCTACTTGTCAACCTTATCCTTACCTTAGACAAACGGGGTGCAAAAAACATGAGAAATAATTATAACTAGGTGGTGGGGAGGATCGAACTCTGAACCTCTACGTTGACAGGCAAATGCCATACCTTTGGAACTACTTAATCAAGTCCCACCAGGGCGGTGCCACTGACTGAAGTTGTCTTTAGGCTATTCCCAAAGAGGGGACATTAACATATTCTTATGCACAGTTGAATTGTAAATGGGCTGATTCATCAATGTCACGCTCATAACTTTGCCTGAACTGTAACAGGGAACTGCTGCTTTTTCTTTCCTCATCCTTACTATCGTCATTCTTCTTCTACTTCTTTTGTATGTTTGTCACACTCTTGTGAACTGCTATTTCCGGGGTGCCTTGATAGTCGAAGCAGACTTTGTGCTGTTGAGGCTAGAGAGGTGAGCTGAGTAAGTCTGATTCCCTGTAAGGACTTCTCTGTTGACATCCACCTCTTGGCGCTCATATGACCTTATGCTATAGCGAGCGCCGCAAAACCTTACAAAAACAAAAATTAAAAAAAACAAAGCGAGCCCGTACCGTTGCCGAGATCCTCGATGGAGACAGCGTCGTCCAGGTCTCGGGCAGTGGCCGGGTCGATGGTGAACACACACTCTCGCCGGAAGTCTCGCCGGTAGCTCATCTCAGACGCCGGGATGCTCCAGGGCAGGTCTGTCGGGAGACACTG